AATGACCAGAAGCTAAAATTTCCAAATTCAAGAACTATTTTTTTAAAAAGCTACTTGAATAAATAAAGTTTTAGGGATATAAATTGAGTAGACCAATAGCTGTAATAATAATCAAAGATGATTTAGTTACTAATATATTTAGAAGCATTTTGTTGTTGTTGTTGTTAAATGCCATCGCAAGTCATTTCCAAATCTTAACAACCCTGTATAGGGTTTTCAAGGAGCAGCTGGTGGGTTTGAACTGCTGACCTTGCATATCGAGGCATATACTATGTTAAATTAAGGAGCCCTGGTAGTGTAGTGGATTACAAGTTGGGGTGCTAACCACAAGGTCATCAGTTCAAATCTACCAGCTGCTCCTCGGGAGAACGATGAGGCTCCCATAAAGGTTGACAGCCTCAGAAACCCTACGCAGGTCACTGTGAGTTGGAATTGACTCGGTGGTATACAACCATTACTTTGTTAAGTTATGTATTAAATGCTACCTTTTCACCACAGTTTGCATGTCATGAGACATTCTTACCCATTCTTTACATGCTTCTTGATCAGGGATCTTGTCATCTCTAAAATCACCTTTAAGTCACCTGATCAATTCCAGATGACATCATCATTGTTTCCTTTAAGTCATTTGAGTTGCAGTCCTTTAAAAGTCCTCTCCTAATGGCCCCTATAAAGTATATCTCAGGTTACAATGATATACTATTAAAATACGTATTTAAAATGCTGTATTCGATTGTGGTGTTGGTTTCCTTTTGGTTCTGTCATTATGCATTCTCTATCTGTAATTTCCATCACGTAATCTCCTTCTTATTGCTTTAAAAAGAAAACCAACCGTAGGTGTTGAGTTAATTCTGAATTGTGGCAACCCCATATGTCTTTAAAAGTGATCTTTAAAAGACATGTTGATAATTGTTGTTGTTATGTGCCATTGAGTCGGTTCCAACCCATAGTGACCCTGTATAAGGTTTCCAAGGAATGGCTGGTGAGCTTGAACCACCGACCTTGAGGTTCAAACCAACAGTGCAGTCCAGCACATTAACCCACAGTGCCACACAAGGACTCTGTGTCTTAATACTCAGCATGACATTTATGGTATCTTAGTTCCAGGAATAATTGCTAAGTCTGTGTACATGTAGTCACCTGATTTTTACTGATTTTATTAAGTAGCATCAAAGCCATAATGATTGAGATATTTTTGGCTAATATGTCCCCGTCACACAGTACTTGATTTTTCAAAATACACTAATTCAGAGAAAATGCCCCCACAATAGAGAGGCTATCTAAAGAATCAAATATAAGCCTTCTCTCTTTCTTCGAAATAGAGTTTGTCATGTAGAGAGGAAGTTCATATCACTTTGGCCAACTTTAGTAGTACCTGACCCGCGTGGTCTCTTGTGTCTCAGTGTCAGGCTTATAAACCTCTTTGTACTCCCCATTCATCCCAATTCTGAAATTGACATGCTAATATTTTATTAACTAGACTGGATTTCTGAATAATTATATACTATCTTAGGTTTCTGCTGAATGAATCTTGAGATTATTTACATGAAACACATAATGTTTTCCTCTTTGTTAAAATGGGCCATATTATGGAGTTATAGATTTTCTACTATCTCTGGTAGCGTAGTGGTTACAAGTCAGGCTGCCTACCTTAAGGTCAGCAGTTC